CAGTCCCCACCGCTGAGGAGATGTCCAGTTTGACGCCAGAGTCCTCTCCAGAGTGAGTGTGACGGGGAAGAGAAGAGACCGGGTGGAGGCGGGGAGGGGAAATTCATTCCCTCAGCCCCTTCCTGAACCTCTTCCAACCATCCCCTCCCACTCAGGCTGGCAAAACGCTCCTGGTTCGGTAACTTCATCTCTTTGGACAAAGAAGAACAAATATTTCTCGTGCTAAAGGACAAACCTCTCAGCAGCATCAAAGCGGACATTGTCCATGCCTTCCTATCGGTGAGGGGCCTGGGTCCCTAGTATCCTGGCCACCATAGAACTACAAATCCCAGCAGCCCCTGGGGTTTACCCCCTTAAGACTGGCCTGCCTTCCTCCTGTGCCTCATGGGATTTGTAGTTTTTCAGTCAGAATTGGGTTTAGTCATTGTGGGGACAAGGAGGCAGGAGAGGTTTATTGTGCCCTGGGGCCTGGAAGTGGTAAATAGGATCCTGAATTACAGTTACCACAAATTAGCGTCCCTTAAGGATTGATGATTTGCCATTTCCCTACTATTACATTGGGATTCAGTTGCTCAGCCCTTCCTCCTATACCTTGTTTTTCGTAGGACAGAGAAAACTACAAGTCACAACAGGCAGTGGGGCCTCCCAATGGCTTTTCTGTTATTTTGCACCTGTGGCTGATGGGACTTGTAGTTCCTTGGATAGCCATGGTAGTTGGGTTAGTTATCCTTTCCCTAGAATCAGGTCACTGGAATCAATCCTCCATGTGTCCCCCACCTCCCTCAGATCCCCAGCCTGAGTCACAGTGTGCTGTCACAGACCAGCTTCAGGGCTGAATATAAGGCCAGTGGTGGCCCCTCCGTCTTCCAGAAGCCCGTTCGCTTCCAGGTGGACATCAGCTCCTCTGAGGGGCCAGAGCCCTCCCCTCGAAGGGATGGCAGTGGTGGTGGTGGCGGTATCTACTCTGTCACCTTTACGCTCATCTCTGGTAAGTTTCCCTCAAGTGGACTGCCCCCAGCCCAGTGTTTGGGATGCTCAAGACAGCTGAGGTAGGATAGCCGCCCAGGAGGGCAGCACCACCAGGGAAGAGGACATAGTGCTCAGCTGGTACTGACCGTGTGCACCCTTCCTCACTCAGACCCCCACATTCTCTCTTTCCCCCTTTTCTCATCAGCATTTAATGTAATGTCATATTTACTTACAACATGCTTAGTGCTTTATACGTACTAGTTTCTCAAAGCTTCCCAGCAGCCTTTGAGGTGTTGTTAGTAATCACCTGCTTGACATAGAAAAAAACTGAGTCCTAAATTGACTCAGCCAGAGTCAAACTGCACTCTGTGACCGAGCTGGGGCTCAACCTAGGCCTCCTGACCTTGCAGTGCAAAGCTCTACCTACTACTTTAAGACCGTTCATCAGAAGAGCAAAGACATGGGGTGCTTCTTTCTTTCAGGCCATTCCTGCACCCAGAGCAGGCATTACCAATCTATCAATCAC